GAACTGAAAGTCTAGTCTGTAATCAATTATGAAATAAATGAACGAGTTCCAACATTGAGAATTTATGTCTTCACATTTGAAAATTCATGAACATCACATTAAAATAACTAATGCAATGTACTTCATATACATGTATTACATTTTACACTCGCCTGATTAGGTTTCTTGCTTTCAATCGCCTGAATTTCCAAGTAATGGAAGTGGAAATCAATCTGTAACAAAGCGAAGATATCTTTTATAATAATGCCACTAAGGTATGCAACATAATAATTATTAATCAGAATAAAATCACAGATCGATCAATATGATGTCCAAGGGGATTGCAAAGGGTTCCCATGACTGTGGTGCAAACTGAAAATGCAACTGACAAGAGAAGAAATATATACTGTTATGAGTGCCAAGGACCTGCTTTTCTATTAATTTAATTAATCTGAAAGGCCACAATTTTGTTTAGTATAAGAATAACTTGAGGATGAAATTTGAGTGAATTCTATATCCAACCAAAATGCTACTACAGTGGTCCACAAATTCCTAAGGAATATATGAGAGATGTTTAGGAGATTCAACTCACCCGAGTTGGAACTTTGGCTGTGAGGAGAAACAATCGACACGGTGAGAAAACCTGTAACAGACAGAAATATCAAATATGTGTAATGCAGCAATCTAAAATAAAATCAACAATTCTTACCATTTTTATATGTTGCTCTGAAAGATAAATTATAATTCAAAACAATAAAACTCCACAATTGGGAAACATCATCTAGAAGACAACAAATGACAAAAGGTCAAATTACAATTACTATAAAACATCTGATAGTCATACAACTCTAGACACTCCTATAAACTATGATGTGCGTTCCTCAAACTATAAATCAATAACACACACTTAATAATCCATTTATGTGTAGAATGTCCATTGGTAGAGATTCCAACAACATTAATTTTGTATGATCTGAAGCTTTCGCAGCAACTACGAAAAATTAATTCTTCTCGGGCTACCAGCCATGTCAGGTGGTTTAATGTGTTTTCATTATACATTAATTTTGTCAGTTAAAAAATTAGAATTTCCTGCTGTCACAGTTCTTGTAACTGTTAACATCTAAGAAATTGTTTGCATGAAACTTGCAGGTATGTCCTCCAGGTTGGGGGTTGGTCGCAAGGCTAACAACCTTGCACCGTAAAAAAGGAAGATGTTTCGAAACCTCGATCAAAGCCTCGGACAGACGGACCTAACAGAGGACCGAATGGAAGAGGAGATTTGAGGAGGCCATGGACCGAATACGGACCGGAGAGCCATAGAAGAAGAAGAAGAATTTAGATATCAGCTGAGAACATAAAATATTCTCCTTAATGATAGCAAACATTCTCCAAATTTCATCTGCCCTTAAATTCTTCATGAGGCAGATAATGGATAGGACAATTTAAATACTACTACCACTACTATTACAAGGTACTATGCCAGCATGCGATCAGAAAGGCTAATGCAACCCATAAATATCTGTCAGAATTTGAACCAGGTACAATTCTGGAAATTACCACTACTCCAAGCTGCTTGATTCCTCCATTTGGATTCTGATTGGGTTCCTTTTAAATGCTAGTGAAACTGGTTACCGCCATGCTATACATACACCGTTCAGCATCTTTCTCAGATACAAACTAAGTGATGACTGGGAAAATGAATTAGCAAGGAAAGCAAATGCCACATATCCTTCAAGGTAATGGCATATATTTGCCTGGTGAGATTAAGTAAATCAACAAAAACAGTCAAAACTGTTTACCTTTGGCTCATGAATCCAGTACTTCCAGGCGGCACCACAATACACAAAACCGCTGATGACAAAGCGAATCCATAACCTTCATCTTTATAAAATCCTTGCGTTCAGTGTCCTCCGTTTTTCAATCTCAGTTCTGGTTACTTAGCCGCCTTAACCGGGCACAGTGCAAAAGCGATCTACGCCCAATGTGATTTTGTTACTTGACAACAGTTCAACCCACAAAGCGATCACTATGCCACACCAAGATGTCATAATAAATACGCGATTTCATTAGTTCGATACAGTTTATTAATAAAAAAAACCTTGAGCGAAGAAAGGGCGTTTTCGCTGGTGTATTTATTTTTGTTGGGAGAATGATAAAATAGCGGAATAAAAAATTTTGTGAATGACGAATGTCGCACTCAGTATAACAACCGAGATGCGTAATGCCAAGTCCCTGACCGTCCCTCTAATAGCGGACACTCCAATCTGTATACGAAATGAATTCCCTGCTCTGCAAGGATGTAGCCACTCGTCTGCTAGGGGGACAGAAATCAAATCCTCTGTAGCACAATCCCTCGAAACAGACTGCGTAAGAAATTGTTGCACATTAAACACTGAATCATTAAGTGGCTACAAAAGACACAAATCGTTTACTCTCGTCTTGTTCTTAAGAAGTCAGAAATTGTTTGTAAAACTTGTGACGTCTGCTTTCATTAATATGCTTTAATCAACAGAATGTCCATAAAATATGGAGACACGTGTGGGGAGTCAGTGCTTAAGTCTGCCGAGATAAGTCTCCAAATAAATGACGAACAGCGATAATTTGCGGAATGTGGTTACAAGAGCCATGTCAACCGCACGCGGTGCTAGCAGCGACAGCGAGCGGGCATTAACAAACAGATTGTATGAAATGGGAGAAATATTTTCACCATAAACTACCCAGATCACAAACTATGACAAGATGTGGCTCATTGGAAGGGTGTTTGAAATGTCGGGAAGTGAAGACAAGACCAAAGAAAGGAAAAAAGTTGAACTGAACGGAAAGATAACTATGAGGCCCTGAAAAGGGTCGGCTTCTAATGACAGCCCAGTCAGAGTCCAGAAGCCAGTGAAAGTGAGTAGTGAAAAAGGTACAGCAGAACATGTGCATTGAGAAGACCTGGACGGAATTACGATTTATATCAATGACATTAATTATAGCAGCATAATAATATTACTTGCTGATTAATTTTCCTTAAAATAATAGTCCGCACCGACATTAAAATTTATTCAGTAAAAATTTCTTGTAACTCGAGAGGGTCACACACTACGGGTTGGAAACCTCATCAGGAGGAAATGAATGCGGCCGTGCAGAAGTAGGATTTGAAACTAAGCCGCAGAGAGTGAGATTTCGAAGTGAGTCATGGTTAGTAGTCAGTGACCGTGCCCATCGTCAGTCAGTTTATATCCTGTCCTATATACCGTCGAATCAGCTACATTCCGTATACGTGAGTAAGACTGAAACCAAGCCACCGTAAAAAATCAAGACCGCAACTTTAATCGCTAATTGTTGACGCGTCTTCAGGTACCAAGTGAACAATCCATCAGTCTGTCCGCATGTTCCACATTTTATACCATTCAACTAATTATCATGAAATTAAGTGTTACGAATCTGCATTAAAATTTGAGTAACGAATATAATGCTGGTTTAAAATCTGTGAAATAAATCCCTCTTTTTCACGTAGCTCGAAGCGAATTTATCGTTTATTTCAAAAGGGCTCATTATATAGCCTACATATATACGCACGCACGTACACAGAGTAGGCCTAGATATTTAACGAAAAGTAACAGATTAATTTATTTCTCTATGCAGTAGAAATTTAAACTTGTTCAACAATACATCTTGCCTATAGCAAATGATTTTCAAGAGCAGCGGAGTGCGGAATAAAAGGACACATCCGAACCAAAGCCGGGCGCAAGACTCACTGAAATCTCTGCAAAACGGGTACTGCAGTTCTTTGGCACATTGTCCGACGTGACGCGTCCAGCATTGAAAATACAAGTCATCCTGGGGAAAATCGTGGGCAAAAGAAGCCGCTGACGTTTCCCTTCTAGATGGACAGATCAGGTCGCACAATTGACAAATAAGCCGATCGCCAACGCAGTTCGCTTAGCACAAGACCGCGAGGGCTGGAGAAGAATCACGATTCATTTAGGTCACGACGGTCAAGCTGACCATAGACGATGAAGAGAAGAAGAAGAAGCAGCAAATAATATCAGGATGATCATACTAAGATGGGTGAAATGGGTAAGCCATGCAGCCAACATGAAGAAAAATTCATACAGAATATACGATCACAGAGAGCACCAGAAGTTGATCTTAATCTGGCTCAGGATACAATCGAGTGACGGGTACTTGTAAACAGGGTAACGAATGACTATCAGCTCTTCAAGTGGGTCTTTTGCTCCATGGAGCTCGTCAATGCAGCAAATTCATTCGTTTTACCGAAAAACCCAAGTCTACAGCGAGAAAAATAAGATGAACCAGACATGTAAATCTGGCACAATCTAACAGTAGCACGTAAAACCCAACAAAAGATAAAACTATGTTCCACACTTACTGTTACCATGTAATATTTCAGTATTTCGAAACCTAGTCCTGGTGTTCATGTTTCCTAAATTCACAAAATGCGCACATTCATGTTCCGAATTCTAACTGTAATTATACTGCACCCGCATCCTAATTCTTAACATTAATTACATTATCAAGTTACTCCACTCCCTCGAGAAGCCAAAAGTCGCTCAGCTAGTCACATTTACCGCCATTTATGGAGCCAAAAGTTTCATTATCGTGTACATAAGAGACTTCTACTGGACTCTGTCCTGAGCCACAGGAATCCATTCCACACAGTCATGTCCAGTTGATTTATGATTCATTTTAATATTATTCTTTCATCTATCTAGGTTCTAATCAGGTTTTTCAACCAAAATTTTATATGCATTATTCATCTATGTATTTACACAACACTTCCAACCTAATCCATAATCGATTTGAGCATTTTTTCACGGGCACAAATTGTAAAGCTCCTCACGATGCAAGTTTTCCTATCTATTGTTACTTCCTCTTCGGTAGATTCAAATATTCTCCTTAGCATTTCCTTCTCAAAACCCCTCACTATGCTTTCTTTCTTTAAATTACTTAAATATGTAATTATACAACTGTCAGTTTCATTGCATTTTAGTTTTGTTCTAATCTCTGCAGAGTGCCTATTAAAACCACTCCGTCCACATGTACACATGTAACAACCCGAAAACTTTAAAACCTATTCCCATTATATCTGATACTGGGGAGTTACACTAAATTTGCCGATACAATCGGCACTTTGTATAAAGACTTGAACCATTCTGCAACATCCACTAAGAACAGAAATGAGTAAAAGACTTTGTGATAATTCTGCCCATGACACATAGCCAGAGTCACTAAGCGAATTTTTCAAAAGTGTTAGCCAAATCCCGAGACGGGGGCAGGGGTCATGAAATTGTTGCCAACAAAGTGTATACGTCATACATGACAACTACGCGAATGTTAATAGTTAGGAAGAAACAATAGCAAGAAAATGTAAAACTAAGAAACAAATGGTTAGCGACTTCTACGGTCTGACGAAGAAAAAACTCCCTCCTTTTGGAAAGAATCATTTAGCCCGTTGCTTAGTCACTGTACCAATTGACCTTCCCCGGCTCATTACGCTAATTATTAATACTTCGGACCACAGGATCTGCAAACTTGCCGATTGTGGGGTCGATATAACAATGCTCCAGTCCTCGCATTACTAAATACAATTAACCAAAAAGCCTGTAAAAGTGCAATACGTCTTTTGTTATGTCAAATTCCTGTATACGAAAGTCAAGGAATGCAGAAAGTCTGAAGCGTTAAAGGCTGACGCTATCTTTCCTCCTTCACCCCGCAAGTCTCAAGATTACAGTCTTACACTGTATATATGGGGATGTCCTTTCGCTAAGGGGAATGTCTATGGCTGAGGGTCTTAATATGTTCAGACCAGGAGTAATTGATACTGATGGGAGAATGGTCCCATCAACCAATACATCTTTTGTACAAAAAAGGCTGCATTTGTCCAAGAATTGAACCCAGTATGTTTGGGATCGCTAGGACTTTATTTTGGCATGCTGTTTAGTCATAGTGTAGTGTGCTAGGAATAAATCTCACTTTCAGAAAGGTGTAGCTAGTAGATGCATGTCCAAAGGGGGGTGTTCCTGTAGAACAAGAGATCCTTAGGAGTTACTAATGGCAGGAAGGCACAACTTTGCGACTGACCAAAGGATTAGGAATTGGTGATTAATGCTCCTTTAAAAATCTGAGCCAGGAAATGAGTAAAATATTTCCAATTTTTTTTACATCACATAAGATTCATTATAGCCAATGAGAGCTCATGGAAAGTTCAAGAACCACAAACCTTTTCCTAATTGCAATTTTGGATTTTGAACAAATTTTGAGATATCTGAGCTGAATCATTACATATGGGTATAAATTAAAATAGCAGGCAGAGACACAGGTAGGTTGCAGCAATCTTTAGTCACTCAGAAGTGGAATCTGAGACACCCTGATTCACGAACGCAAAACAAATTTACTTTAAATTATGAGAAATCTACAGCTCGTAACAATAATAATGACTGGCTGAAAGTATTTATGACAGGAAAGAATTTTTAGACCAGCTGTTTACAAAATGTGCAAAAATTTGACAGATGTTTTAAATTTCCTTTTATGTTCAAGGGTTTAATCCCAGTTTAAAGCACAATTTTCAGGCCACACAAAACCAGGTGGTCACAATTCTAAACAATATAGGCTTTCAAAAATGAGAGGGGCAGCTCAGTCAGTATAGCGTATGACTACAGACCAGACAACCAGAGTTCAATCCTTGACAGGGGCAGAGAATCTTTCTGCTTGCCTGTATCTAGAATGGCTTTGAGGCCCACCCAGCCATCTAACCCAAGGGTACCAGGCATCCTTTCCCCTGAGGCAAAGCTTGGCCAGGGTGTGTCAAGGTCAAGAATGAGTAGGAGCTAAATAAACCCTCTTCCAAGCACCTCCATGGTATGTAGTAGGGTTTCAAACATCAGTACCTATACTACACCCACAAATACTCAACTGAACCAACACTGCACAATCTATATTAAATCATTTACAATTATTTAACTTTTGAATTAATGAAGATGGCTGTCTTCTGGGATTTAGCACAGTGTAATCTGGTAGAAGTTAACTAACATTTCAGAGATACTTTCTACATCCAATATCAGGGTTATGAGTAAACTCCATGCAAGGAATGGGTTTGAGATACTAGAACTAGTCAAAGCAGAACCTTGGCCAGACCAGTGGGTAAGAGGGAGGGCATCACGTGAAGGCATGGAAGCGAATACGAGAGGAGACATACCACAGACTGGCCAGAAGGGGGGATTTATAATAATTAGGGCACTTTCTAAATATTATATTTCTGTATTTAACATCTGCAATATCTCTTTTATGAATGCAATGCAGTTATAACTACCAGCAAACTACCAAGGCCCCCAATGGTGGTATTTACATCCACTACTATTATCCAACATCAGGATAACTTAGGATATGACCACCTAGGACTGGTCTGTGAAAGATCAACAGAGCCCTGTAGACTCACTGGTGAACAAGAGGGGTTCAGAAACAAGGACTGGTAAAGAGACATGTGGATTGACTGATGAAAAAGACAGATTCTGGAATGAAGACTGATCAAACTGAATGACAAGTCTTTGGAACTGAGATCTAAATTAATTTGAATTCCTATTCATGCTCAAACATTACATGACTGTTTTGTAATAACAACTAGTTTTGGAAAAACCTGTATGTAAATGTTTGGTTCTAGTGGTTACAGTTACTAACCTGAAATGAAATATAATCAACACCATTCTAATCTTTACCACAGCATACTTCAGAACCATTTTCATATTATCAATTTTTAACCCTTAACACAGTATACTGAATACTAGCTACATAAACAAAAAGAATAGATACACATTTAATAAATTACTCTCAATGTCCACACCACCTTAAAAACAATAATCCAATGAGGTAAACATTCCACACATGCACACATCTTCTTACAGAACATAGAAAAACTTAAAGCTTACCAGAACACGGTTTTCAGTCTTGTCACCTTTCGTTTCCAATTTGACAACATTCTTGAGCAATATTTTGACATGTTTTCCCAACAATGACTTCACACTCTCTGAAAAAAAGGGTATGTCAATAACGTTAATCCCCCATTTAAACAGAAAACACTTGTCCCACACAAATTATCTCTTAATATAATTATAAAGTTGTGTTTGTAGACATAACAGAATAATTTTGAGACATACAAGTTTTCGCTGCAAATGATCAAAAGCAGAGCACAAGAATTCTGCTGCAGATTTAAACTTGAAGGGCTATAGAACAAATATGGTCATCATTTCACTTCAACCTCTTCATCTATAAGAACAAGCAAAGACAATAAATGAGTTCGTTTGCTTGGTTGCACATCTAAATTAGCTTAACATTTTTAATACTTTTGTTATTTTTTTACCAATAACAACGGCTAAACCACGCCTTCTGTCAATTTTATGTAACTTTTCTTCTCAACAGGGTGAGTATGGAACATCCAGAGGTCTGGGTAGTTTGCCAATATAAGCATTTACAAATACATCGTTAATGTGTAAAGGCAAATAAATAATCGTATTCATATCATTGTAACAATAATTAACATATACATTCACATACAAGGGCGCAAATACGATATGTAAACAATCTCACAGTTCACTATTTATACTTCACTTTACCATTCAAATCCTTCGTGAGTTGTGATCTTGTGGACATTTTACTGAAATGTAGTGGATCGTCATAAGACAAAGCACTGTGTTAATAGTTACTCGTTAAAACTGCACATTTGTTACAAGCTATTCTACACACCATACATAATAATAAAAACTCAACATAACACCGCAACCATTCCCTGCGGAGCCATTGCCACTTCCCCCAACCCCGACTAGTACGGACTGCTTTCTTTTAGAACATCTGTACTGGTCGACGCGTAACGGAGTTCCTCCTTTTAAGATGACCAAGATGACATTTTCGCACATTCACACATTCATTTCTCTATGGGTCCTTTATGACAAATTACCTTACCGTCACTTGCCGGTACTCTCTGGTCAGAACTGTGGTGTAGTTGAAAAATGGCAATTTGTGTGTTACGTAGTATAACGAATGTACATAAACCATTTATTTTCCAAGGTACGAGTCACAAAATGGTTTGTTTGTTACGTACTTATACAGTAAATGTTAGATCGGTATGGTATTGTCCAAAAATATACTCTTCAGTTATATTATATCCAGCCTTAGAATCAGGGATGTGGAGTAGGAGTTGGTAAAAATTTACCGACTCCGACCTCGATATAAAATCTTAAGAACAATTTCTATACCTTATGAGTTGCCGGCGGTCTCACGTTTAGAGAGATTCAACGACGCGTTGAGCCACATAGTGCGGGAATAATGGTTTGTAACTTTGGCTCCGGCACCGTAAGAATAAACTGGCTACAAATCAACCCATTTCTGCAATAACCATTAGACGTATATTTAAATATAGGTTATAAGTCTAAAAAGTAGGCTGGTGATGAAGAAATCTCTTATGGTGCCATTTACCATTTTAGTAGGTTTACCCTTATTGATTCATATTGAGATTTTATGAAGGAGTGGGAGCCAGAGTCTAAGATTTTAGTACTGACTCCACAGCGCTGCTTAGAATACTAACACGGTTAGGTTAGGTATTGCTTGGTATATTGAAAATTAAAACTGTTTATCTCTTTGTGTGCAGCGCAAGCGCCATATGATAAATTGGTTTGTCCATAAAATTAATTCACACAAATTGTAAGCAGTGTTTTGTAGACTGTAAGTGGTATGTAGGTTAAGGAGAGATGTATGTTTGTGTAAGTGTGACGCAGCACACTGATTGCATTCTCTCCTGTGTGTTCCAGAGCATGCACCCCTGCAGATCTCTCTACCCTTTTAGAGCATCAAGAGTCAATATAGAAAGTGTTCTGCTGTCCTGATGTGTAAATGAGAAGAATAAACTATGTCTGTTCAAAGTACTGATCTGTGTGTTGAATTATCTACCATTTTGGTTAAATGCCTCACAAGTGGTAGAACAGATGATGCATTGTCTGCTATTTACAATGCTAAATATGATCAGTGCTTGAAGGATAGAAGCTTGGATATCATACCCTCGATATCCAAATTTCTCATTCAAGAAACTATTGATAATTCTCCTGAAGTGTTTGATTGTTGTGAAACTTTACTAAAAGAAATTGCACAAAAAGCCAATCCAGAAGAAGCACTGTTAGAATTCTTGGAACAAGCAGAAAATTTAGATGATGATGTAAAATTCCTTGCATTATTAAAACCACTTCAAATAGTACTGTTTAAGCTGCCAAACAGAAGAGGGCAATCTCTCGAGTGGTGTTTGCACATGATTCGGTTTCATGTTACATCATTGCCTGTCCCTAAAAGCCATAGACTGGAGGGAGAAGAAAGGAAACTTCTGGATTCAGATCCTTGTATTTGCCGCATTACTAATGTATATAAGGGAGTTTTGGATTTTTACAAGCCTTTTGTTAATGAAGTGTCACTTAGACAGAAAGCTGAATATCAGAAAAACACACAGAGAAATATGCTTGTATGCTTTATCTTCCAACTTTTGAGACAACCATTAGCAATCTTAGACTTGGAGTGTGATGGGAAGTCAAGCAGTGCCACTAGGTTTGTGGCGGAAGAACTGTTGACTTTCTTGTCACACCTTGTGGGTGACCTTATGATTTTCCTTGAATATGCAGAAACAAGAGAGATGGAAAAGTCAGGGAAGAATGAAAACAACTTTGCCACCCAAAGTGATGATGAAATTCCAATTTTATCTGTTGCTGTATTGTATTACCTTATATTAGGAGAACATATTCAACTGAATGAAGTTCCATGTGTATATTCTCCATTGTATATCTTCCAGAGAAGCTTATATCTTGTTGTTGTTCTGCTGAAACATCTGGAGGAGCTTGTTGTACGCAAAGGATTACTACTGGCAAATGCTATACTAGCAATGTTATCAGAAGGCAGTGTTCCATACACTTTATTGGAATCTCCTGTGCATAAAGAATTTGTGGAATCACTTTCAAAAGTTATGATTTATTGTGATGTAGAAAATTTTAGAAAGTATGCAGTACCTTTGTTACGCAGTTACTTGTTTAAGTTTGATGTCAAAGGTCAATACTTATTAATGTCAAATCTTCCAGCAGTTGTCAATCATGCGGGTATCATGGGATATTTGATAATGCTGCTTAAGGATATGATTATAAACACATTGGACAGTGACTTAATCTCACCTTTCTTCACTGGTAAGGCCCTGTATGATCTGATTTCAGAATATTGCTCATTGTCACATGGGGTTGAAACTGATCTCATAGAAAATGCAGATCAGATCATTTCAGCTCTTAATTTAATTAGATTCCTCTCCCTTCGTGACCAAAAGAATAAAACTGGGATGTGGGATTATGTTGGAGTTTTGGAGGAATCTATGCTTGAACCCCTCAGAGAAGGCATCAAACTTTCAAGAGCACATTACAAACTGAAGCTCAGAGACCTGGAAGAAGAGAAAAGGAATGCTGTGTTGAATGACAAAGGACGTATTAGCAAATCAGATGTGACTATAACAGTTGGAGGTCAACAGTTACCTAACTTACCATATGAAAATAAAGTAGCAGTAATTATGTCTGCTCTGAATGCATTTGATTTGATGGAGAGTTTGTTGAGTCGTGTCAATGAGTGTATTGATAGTGGTCCATTGAAGTCATGAAACTGTCATCTCTCTGGGAATAAAAACATTACATTATTGAAATCCTGTTCCTGCAATGTACTTGTAATTATGGTAACATGTCCCATAATCTGAATAATAAATGTATTTCTTATGAAAATTTTTATTACAGTATGCTGTTAATCACTAAATCAATAATGTAAATAAATATTTGGAAACTGAAAAATGTGCTGCTCTGGAACAAATGCGAGAGTGCAATGTTTGTATGAAGAAGTACTGGTAGAATTTGTCATATAATGCATAATAATAGACCAGCAGAGTGCCTATTAAAATTGCTCTAGTCTGTTCATTTATATGTATTAACAACTCAAGAATGGATGAACAGGTTTCCATGATATTTGATATTTGGGAATTTTACTAAAATTTTATATATTCCAAATTTGGTTTTGGTCAGAAAACACTATTGGGCACTTTAAATGAATACCTACATGTGTCTCTGTATGTCAGAGTTAATGTGTGGGGAATTGCCCTTCCATTAAAAAAAGTCAGGATAACACTGATAACCACTCCAGAATTATTCACTCTCTTCCAAACTTGTCTAAAAAATCATATTGCTAATGAACAATATATTTCAAAGCAGTAACATTTTTTCTTTCCAAGCATGCTCTTTCCAAATTCCCAGTCCCCCCTCAGAAATGAGGCTGCACTGCAAGTAATTCTTTATTTATACTTTCCTCCACCAGTTGGAAACCTTCATGTAAAAATGCACTGATGTCTTGCATTTTTGAGCAGTGTCTTCATTTTATGAAGAACCTTATGGAAATTACAAACTCAGAACTGCTTGCAGTTGGAAATATTCAAACTCCATTCTCTCTGAGTGCAAGGAAAATGATCTGCTATTGAAAATATGACAAAGAAAGAGCAGGGCTACAGAGAGAGGAGTTCTAAAAGAAGTAAAGCTAATGTTGACAAAAACTTATATGGAGAAACAGGTTTTTTTAAAAAATTTACTTCAATATTATAACTCTTGAGTATTTTGGTACTTATTTTTCCATTGGTAATTTCATTTTAAAATTCAGTGTGATGCATTATTAGTCAAAGAATTATATCGATATGAAAATTGCATGTGGTAATATTAGTTCTTCAATCATCCACTTCTTTTTTTTCATTCAGTGGGAATCAGAACATTATTTCTCTTGTGTATAACTTTCACAAGACATAAATTATATTTTCATGTCACTACTCAGGTCGTTTGTAATTACGTTTATTATTTTCATCAAATTCATGTTCAGTCAGATGTTTCTTAATCAATAAAACTGTGGTATTGATTATTGATATGGAAATTTTTAAGTTGACATTCCTCATTCATAAGAAGCAAAAGTATGCTTATTATGTAGTGATTATATCTAATATAGGAGTAAATGTATACAGCCTTGAATTTAAAAATGATGAATACCCAAATTTCATTGTCAGGCCAATTCCCAGTAATGGAAAATCATGGAAATTTGTGGCAGCAGAAAATAGATGTCTTTTAAGACACCCAATTGAAAATATCCACCAAATTTTAACAAAACAATGTTTTATTGCCTATTGTACATGGCAGAATCAAAATGGTTTATTACCTGCACCATCCAGCTTATTCTGTAACTCTGTGGTCCTTTTGGTTTCATCAACTGAACCAGCAATTAAAATGGTTGCCTGTCACTTGGTTAACTTAAATAGTTGTATTCCATCTGTTCATTTGAGGATCATATTCTTGGTAACATCAATTGAAAGGTGATGCACATCTTTCAGGTTTTTGTGGCTTATGGAGTAACCGCAAACATAGTAATGATGCAACTCAAGAAGGCTCCTCATCACATGGTGAAGAAGACAACACAAATGAAAAAGAATATAAAATAAAATACAAAATATTGGAAGCTTCTTTGCCATTTGTTCAGGAACATGGGTGGACCAAGAATGCAATTAGTGAAGGTCTGAAATTAGAATTTAAGTTAGTTGAGATCACGATTAGATGCAACACTTACACCTTTTTAACCTCTTCACTTCTTTAAACTTCTTCAGACAATGGTTGACCATGGTGTCAACATGTGCAAGTCCAAGATGTGGTGTGTTTTGTTCACAGTACTCTGGAAGATTGTGCCACCTGTATAAATTGATTGTAACTAATTCTGACTGTCACAGTTGATTCATAATTTTCACATTCCGGAAGTCTAAAATTCAGCACAAATAAAAGTACTGACCTGTGAACAGAAACGTCTGTATCCAGATGTGACAACCTAATTTAGGACCCTGCACTGGGTATACAGAGGTATCTTCAGGAACCTCAGAGATTGCCATGACTCCTTTAGCCTGCAGCTTTCACAAATTATAATAATGACATTCAGAGTTGTGTGATTTACACAGTGGTAAAGTTCCTGGTCTTTCCTCACCATTGAGATGTATGGGGGAGGGTAGGTAAACTTCCATGCATTCTTAACCTCAACAATTTTTGGAGGTAAGTTATTATTAACTTCACTGGATAGGTTGGGTAGGCCCCAGAGCCAGTGCTAGCCTAAATGCAGTACCAACAGAAAAATGCCTATCCTTGCCAGGAATTGAATCCCATCATCCAGCCCATGACATATTCACTGTACTGACTGAGCTACAGTAGTTCTTAATGTCTGAAATATACCAAGAAGCTCAGTGTATATCTGTTGTCTGGTGGGCCCCTTACAGTTTGAAAACTATTATTTGATGTGGGTGACTATGTATGAGCTGGATGCCTGGGGCCTTCAATCCAGTAAGAATGAGCTCTGTATCCAGGTGTAAAGCAGCTGAGCATGAAGCTAACCTCTTACCTACATGTAGTACTGAGATCATGTATGGAGCCTTACCTCCATGCCCCCTTGTCTTTATTTCGTACTACATTGTACTTTACACTTGTAGAACTAGCGTGGCATTTGGCATCTTTTCTGGTTTCTCTGCTTGCTGCTTTCCAGAACTGAACCAATCCAGGAGGACTAGTCTTACATCAGGCTTGCAGCTCCATTGGCATTCAGCGACATACAAAGCAGATAATCACAGATTTGCCTTCATGTTAACAAAATATAGGAAACAATGAGAATTATTATTTTGTAGGGGCACGGACTGTTGGCTATCCTGGAACTGCTCATGGTTTGTTCCCTCGAGGAGGTGCAGAGCTCGTTCAGTATTTCTATGTCATATGTAACCAACAGCTTGCTCAAACACTGAAGAAGGAAACTGAAGCTGCAGATCCATCAAAGTAATTCAGGTCACAGTCTTTAAATGCATGATAAATTAAATTTGCTTCCTGCACCTTACATATGGTAATAAATAATCCCAGAAGGCTCTTTCTTCATACTTTCTGCCTTGAGAATCTCAGTAAACATTTTGTAGAATTTTTAATGTATTTATATATATAATTTAATACATAGACAGAACACAAATGTACTTGCCACCAGTATATTAACTTGCCAATGGTTAGCAGGCAAAATATCACTTCTAGTTCCTGATCTTAAGATATTACAATGTAAATGTTTATATCTCCTACAAAACTATCTATGAAGCATACTACAGACAAGGAGGTTGTGATAGGCTGGACATTTAGCTAAAATGGGGACTCAAGGAATGTATACAGAATCTTGGTGGATTTTGTTAAATGTGAAGGTAAGCAGTCTGTCAACATCTGCATGTATCTTCAAACTGGTATCTTTCCCAGCTACTATATTGTGAGTGAAGGCTTCGTTAGATCCAGTCTCAGGTCTAGGTACAGTATAGTATAACATTTTAACTTTAGATCACAGAAAATTTTGTATATGATTGATATCATATGTTTCCTCTTCACGTTTCCACTGAACATCTGTTCAGTATCTGTCAGGTTGAGTTCAGACATCAGTTGAGAGACCAGCTACATTGACTGAGTAGTTTTCCTCAATCTCTCCAGGTAAATCTTGGGATATCTTAAAACAGGCCATGATTGCTTCCTTCCACATCCTTTACAATTCATTTAATAATCCTAGGAATTGGAAGTAATGTTAATGTTTATGTAGAATGGAATTTTCCTAAATGATTATTTAATGACATCATTTCCCACTTTATTTTCCTTTTTGTCACATTTGTGTCCCTATACCATCTAAGTTCCTGGATCGAGAAAAAAATTTGTTTTTATGAAGTACAACTTGAAAATACATATAATTATGCTTTATTTTTTGTGCTTTTCACTAATTCAGACTAGCCCTTTTAGTCTGAATTAGTGATGTTTTACTGTAATACTATTTTTTCCTGGGCAATTATTACTGTTTACAGATGTAAAGAACCAGCACTATTCATTCAAGGTGCAGTAGAGAAACGTCTTCGTATGATTATTCCATACATCGGCATGTGGCCACAAGCTCTTGTGATTATGTCACTTCCTCCAAATGTTCCCCCAGCTCTGGCAAACCTGCTTACTCTGGTTGATGACATCTGCTATTATGCTGGAGATAGATCAGTTGATGTAAGTCATAGAGTGGACAGTAAAGCTACACATAAATGAAAGAACAAAATTAGTAAGATATAACTGAGCAAAATCCTAACGTTGAACGGACACAATCTAGTGAACTCAACTGAATGAATACCAGCATAGTACCTCCAAATGATCTAAAACAAGACTCAGGAAATATGGTTGGAACTTTTCCAGATAATTAAGACTAATTTTAAGGTTTGCATTCTGGCATGGTCATCATTTGGCACATATCTTGAATATGAAATTGTCTCATATTTAAGACATACACCAGATGACAACCTAATGAGGTCACAACATTTAGTGTATGATACAATGACAGGTTGTGTAGACAGTAAAATATACAATTAACAGACACTGATACACTGTTAGTATTGGTCTCAATGTATTCAAAAGTTAGGAACTATACCCACAGTATAACAATTATGGCACATTCACCAAAATCTGACCTTTAAGGACACCAGTGACATCAGTCTTGGTCAGTGACCTTTGCACAGGTGGGTGGCCATTTCCCAGGTACTCATGGTACCCTGTTGATTTCCCCCACTCAGTCACTTCTGCGTACAGGAGTGCATGTAGGTCTTCATGTAAAGTATCTCTTAGCGTTGTCCAATGTTAACCAAAACTGAGATGTGTTCAGAAATGTTAGTAAACCTCTCATTTGAAACTGCATAACTTTTGTGATCACTGAAACATTACTTTCAAGTGCATGAAAATATATGGACTAAAGCTAGCGTAACTAGGGAATGGAGAATATTACACAGAAAACTTAGAGCTACACAGTTCACACACTTTTGTTAGTGTAGTCAAACATGTGAGGTCACTGTCGGTTGAACAATTACTTCTACAGCTTGCTATCAATACACAATCCATATTGTTATTACTTATACTTAATAAATATTTAACCCTTTCACTGTTATGTACATAACATTTTTGCAAGCAAATCATTTTGTATGTTATGAATGGAACAGCTTATGAAGTGTACAATATGCTGTAACACCAATCTTTCTTAGGTATCAGTCAACACACTGGCTGGTAATAACAGAGGGCAGTCATAGTGTTACAGGTTGTAGTAATGTTGTATTCAGATGTGAATTAAATAGTGTAAATGCTTAAAGAGGGTGATTATTATTGGATAACAAACATCCTGCTGCCACATATATTTTCACTTACAGTGAAGGGGTTAAATATGAATGTCAAGTATATAACTAAATGAACCACAGAAATATTTTACTACAATAAAACTCAAGATTCAAATCTTCTAATACCAAAGCTTGCATCTTTTATGTTGATTTGCAATTTTAAATGATAATATTTCATTGCAGTTCAGCTGGTATAGCAGGAGAGTGGCTCTAGCTGGAATCTATAAAATGACTGAACTCTATATGATACAAGACAAGTCAGCAGACTTCGAGGAAACGTGGCATTTTCTTGGACGAAGAATTGAAGATGTATCTCAGCTTAACAGTTACCTGCACCAATCAGGAGAGGTGTCACACGTTGCCAAAGAAACTGTCACTGCAGCATTTATTACTGTATGTCACATTTTGATATATTTTGTGTACACTGTGATGTTTTATAATTTTTAGTTCCAGTTACAAAAGACAAATCAAAATATTTTTAATCAACAGGATGATTTTAATGAAAATCACCAGATGTCACCCTTATATCAATATCAACACAGTGTATAAGCATTTAACCCCTTCACTGCCGGTGAAAATATGTCAGCTGCACACTAACCAGTAATCACCTTGTGAGCATTTAGACCCCTGTACACTGTCATGCTCATACATTTCAACAGGGTTCTGATGATGGGGACAGAGACGGTCCCTGAAACGTCGGTTTTATTGTTTAACCATTTGACATGGCTGATTGCCCAAGAGGATTTTATTGAGAAACTGAAAGATATTGGCAGCTCTGTGTATGTCTGTGGTACTCAATATGCTAAGTGTCAAAGCTGTTAGTTTCCTTGTATACTTTGTTGGGTTAAGTGACCATATAATTACAATGAATGTGTCTGAGAATATTTTCCTTTGAAGGCCATTTACCATTTTAGGATATGGAATCACCATTCTTTAAGCTATTAAAGTATTATGCTGCTTTACAGTATTTTGAACTACTTCATACCGGGTCAGACTGTATGTCGTATTTAAAACATTAATAAATTTCCCAATTCTACCCCCCAGTTTAACATATGAAATCCATCCAGTAATACTGGAAGTTTGCCAGTTTTAGAAGTTTGTTTGTTTGCAGGTTTTCATTTGTATATTGTAAATTACAAAACATTTGCTGACAGTGCTATAAAACCCAACAGTAACAGATGCAATCTCTTGTTTCAGGCACGGAATATTCTGGGACTGAGTTTAGGGAACAGATAACAGTGAGTTCCCCTATGTAGCATCATTTAGAACTGTACGTTCACACTGGATTATTTAAGTGCATGTACAGTTATTTATGCAGTATTAAACATGAAAACATGCCATTTTTATTCACTCTGACCTATCCAACATCAACAGTATGCTATTTCAGTGCTCTATGGTATTCAGAACCCATCACTATGTTGCTTGCTGGGAGATGATTCCCTAAGCCAGCCGAGTGGAATTAGTTTAAAGATCTCAGTCCTATACCACTGTGAAGAGTGACCACAGAAAGGTCTTTTTAAAATTAGGATGGATCTGGATGTAGAAGCCAGTTCCCAACCTCTGTTAAGGTTTCCTGTTGCCTGCCTGTATGGAGTATCAAACTGACATCCTTAGGTAGTGCTGTCACCAATGTGGGGTTGAATATGGTCCTCATTCATTCCCTTGGGAAACTCCACACATGGAAAATATGTCTAAAACTGTTCTTCTATACACAATATACAGTAAAACCTCTCTAAGTTGGACATTTGTGGTTCCACAAAAATGTGTCCAACTTACAGAAAGAGGTGTCCAAGATAGAGGGATAGGGAAAAATCCTTTCAGATTGTGATGTAATGACAAATGTCTTTTTCAGTCTGCACTACAAGTCTTTTCCCATGCATCAGTAATGGTGGCTCTGTTGCTGTTGGAAACAGTAGATTTGGAGATGCCATATTCCTCTGCCAGCTTCATGCAACTTTCTCCTTTCCTCAGAAGATCCAAAACTTCCTTCTTCTTTTCTAAAGTTATTTTCACCAATTTTCACTTAACCATCGCAAAAAAAAAATCACCCCATTTCTGTTAACAAAGATAGAACTCAAATACAAGCACAGTGCTGATGGAGTTAAAAGTGTATCTGAAATACTGTAGTCCAGTGAATGGTTCAACAAGAGAATAAACACTTTCACTACATTCCAATGATAGGTTCAATGTCTCCCACCCTCAACCACAAGGTAATCCTCCAGATAGAAGGCATTCATCAGTCGGAAATTCAAAACATAAATATGTAACTGTAAATGTTTCCCTGAAAAGCAATGAACCTGTCCATCTTAAAACAAAAGCAGTGTCCAAGATATAAGGTATTGTGAACATGTAAAATTATAGGGTATTCACTGGTTCCAATTAAAAATGTCCAATACAGAGAGGTGTCCAGGAAAAAGGGGTGTCTAACTTGAGGGGGTTTACTGTATTGACAAATATATGATAACACATTCAGTATATGCTGCCAACATTCTGCCTTCTTAACTTTCATTTATCTCTTTCTGGTAATTCCTTACTGTAAAGGAAGACTTCTTTTGTCTGGACATAATGATAAATAACAACGTGCTAGTTACAACTTTCAGTGCTTTTATACTGTTCGTACTAATCTTTCTAAAAATATTCTCTGCTTTGATACAACACTGAAATTCAACATATACTGTCTTGACCAGTAAAAACTTCACCAAAAATGATGACATCAAACATATTATTGTCTTTCAGAAGAGTCTGCCAAAATTACATCACTCAATGTACAATAACTAATAAGAAATATAAATGTGTTCTAGAATCAATACTTACAGCTAGAATAATATTATCAAACACATCATAATGTTTCACTAAAATGCAACTTTCCAAAGGAGGCATTATGGAACATGTATTAAAATTACATTACACTGAACAATCCTCAATAATTTTGTCATTCCTG